CCCCCTTTTCCCCCGATAGGGGTTGCCCGGGTCCCCCCGGGCCCGGGGGGCAAAGGGGTCCCGGGGGCCCCCTCCTTTTTGGGGGGGGTTGGGGGAAAGCCCCCGGGGGGGGACGGGCCCCCCCCCCCCCCCCCCCCCCCTCCATGTACACATGCGACCCCCTCTTTTCCCAAGCCCATGGGGGTGTCGAAGGCAGTGGATACCTCAAAGTTTTCGGGATTCCAAAGGCGATTTATCTCGGCAGCAACTGAGGGAGGGATAAATGGTTGGGTGTGTGCTTGTTTTCGTTTTGGGTATTTTTTTGTTTTTTTGCTTTGGGGACGGCAGCATCTCACCTCGGGTTTTCGGCGACCTTTGCGGAACTAACCTCATCGTGGTACACTGCTGTACACTTGTTTTTTTTTTCTTTTGCGGTATTTTTCCGTCGTCTCTCGTGGGCGTGTTTCCCCTCTGCTTGGCACCGGCTGTGCTTTACACGCTCACACAAAACCGGCTCACCAATCCTAGCTTCTGGGCAATCCGGAGTCATCACCCGTGTCCCAAAGGGCGATATCAAAGGATGTCTAGAGATGCTTGTTGCCTCTGTGTACGTATCTCCACGATTGGGTGAACCTTTGTTCCGTCCCGAACCCCCCACGGTATTTTTGCAGGCATCCCCTCTCCTGCTGAACAGCAGCGCTGTGGCGAAGATGCACATGGGGGAGTACCAGGAGGCCGAGACCATTCTTGTCGAGGTGAGCGATAGCCGTCACGGGGCATGCATGCATTGCAACTTCTCGGTCAGACGTGATGTTGGTACTACATTCCTGTCTCCCATGTGCGGTGCCCCGATGTTCACGGCATGGAACGGTCTGATGTTGGCAGCGGCGTGTACATACGTACATGATGAAGAAGGGGATTCCTATCATCCCCATCCCGTACCTGAAACCTCGCTCTAGCTCGAATGTTTCCGCCGGTGGGGGCGAGGGAGGTAGACCACCCCCCTGAATGCTCATAGAGCTTCGAAACCCGCACGAGATGTTTCCTTCATCGTTCTGTGTGTAGGAGGAAGCCCGAGAGCACCCTTGCAGAAGGGGACCGTTGACATGAGTCCGTGGTCGTGAATCTTAGCGGTTTGCGCATGGTGGTTGGGGTGGGGACTTTTTTTTTGTGTGTTTTTTCGTGACCCCGTGGCTGTGACATACTGTACCAAGGCAGCAGAAGCAGAGGCTGCCATGTGGCAGTCAAAGTTTGACTCTCGAACGATGCGGTTGGCGTCATCTCTATCCCGCTACAGTACCGTTGGTCCAACGCCGAGTACTATTGTAGCGCCCACCTCCAACAATCTCTCTCTCTCTCTCTCTCTCTCTCTCTCTCTCTCTCTCTCTCTCTCCCATGCGTGAACCTTTGAGAAGTACCGAGGACTACCCCCAGCCCCGCGCGCCACCGGCTGTAGTTCGAAATGACTCACAACAAACACTTTGTCGTGAATAAGTCTGCTGCTGCTGCCGCCGCCGCCGTGACCACTACCTCCCCTCCACTCTCCTGTTCATTCGGGGATAAAACAGGCCATCAGCAAGAGCCAGAACGACGCGGACACGCTCGTGAACCTGATCTGCGTCTGCCGCCACCTCGACAAGCCGGCCTCGTTCGTCGACCGCTATATCAACCAGCTCAAGACGGCGCACCCCCAGCACCCGTACGTGCAGTCCCTCGCCAACGCGGAGTCGGCCTTCGACCGAGTGGCGGCAACGTTCGCTTTAGCGTAGAGAACAAGCCTTAGCTTGTTGGTAGTTTCTGATGCAGCCATCGTCGAAGAACTTGGGGGGGGTTGTTGGAATTTTGCCTCAAGCTCGCGCCTGCGGCTAGTTTTTTCGCGCGTGACATGTAAGCGGGGACGTTTTGTAATTTGGAGCAGATGCAGCCATGAAAGCGGGGTTCTTGGAATAGTCTTCAGGGATAGCTGCAAGCTCGGGCAAGGGGCTACCGTAATTTTTCGCGTAGCTGGCTACGTATTTGGGCAGTGCCTTGTAGTCGGGTTGCATTGCATGCCGGTGGAGACAATAAGAGTCTGCTTTAGCTCCCACGTTCTGTGATGGATTCTTTCAATCTGCCAGTTGCAACCCACGGTCGGGTGCGAAAAGGAACGCGGAACAACAATTGGGAACGTTCCCGCTGTATTCAATTCCTCTCGATAGTATCGACTGCAGGACGTTAGTGCCAATTTTTTGTACGTTTTTTGGCGGTGGGTTTTACTCGAGGGGCGATCCCTGCAGGGCTTACGTAGCCTCTGATTCCGTAGTTACCTCCTGTGTTGGAGTCGCGAGCTGTAAGTGGCGATGACGAGGGGCTGCTGTAGCGAGAAGGCTGGCCGGAGTAAACAACACGGCCGCTCCTATGCTTCGTGATGATTTTTCTTTTTCATGTACGCCCTCTTATCCCTAGAGGAGAAACTTAGCAGTGTTGAGCGAGAAACGATCGCTTACGAATCGCGGGTACGGGAGGGGGGCTTTGAAGCAATCAGTAAGAGTCACCCCTAGGCAAGAACATCGTCTGTGGACGTTGAAACACTCACAGCTGAAGCAGCTATGAGGAAAGCCCCCCACTGCCACCCCCTCACAACAGCACAGCGACAACAACACGAGACCGAAATGGCGAAGATAAGGAGGGTAGAAATTGTCCCTGGAGCAATTGTAACAACTCACTTTAGTTAGCTGTTTCGTTGTTGTTTCGGCAGGTAACGGGAATTGGCAAGAAGAACCTAGGGTATGTCTCCCCGCCGCCGGCTAGGAGAAAGCGCGCGCCGTCGAAGTTAAGGTACGTAGTTGTCGACAACGCGATCAGAAAAACAGTGGCGGCCCATCCGGACCCGACGCTGGGAGATAACAACTCTTCCACTGGCAAGAGCTTTCCCGTCCATCCTCCAACAAAATCGGCCGTCACAATGCCTGGTATCATACATAGCACCGGTGCCATCAAGCATCAGGTGCGTACCTCACAACGAACAAAAAAGTAGAGCAACTTCAGACTCACACGGATATGCACACCTCCTCACACGCTTCCACTCCTCCCCAGAGCGCGGCCCCTGCGTAAACATGCCCACATTGTATCGGAACTGCGCACGCATCGTGGCTCGGTTCGACACAGCGGGATAGCAACCTCGGGTCCCGGCTGCGGAAAACCACTCAACACCATGAACTTGGAGCCTATCACGTGTACAACCTACCCTTACGCTTGAGGCAGGGGGGGAGCGGGCATCTGCAGGTGTCCTCAATCGAGAGAAAAAGTGTCCCCTCTTGTCAGAACAGCCGTTCGGGTTGTCATTTCCTGGCGTGTTCTAGCCGGCACGGCAATCACCTATGCCACATGACGACAACAAGAGTGAGCTGGAACAGACAGCAGTAGCCCACCAGGTCGCCGCAGTACGCAAGGTACAAGCATGGTTGGGAGAGCAACCACCAGACCGACAGACGAATGTTGAGGAGAATACGATTATCCCACCGAACAGGAACCAAAGGGAGACCCCATCAAAACACTTCCAACCGGCCCAGCTATTTTATCATCTTTCCGACAAGTCAACATGCTTTTGTACAAAATTCAAAAAAAAAAATCTCACTCCCCTTACATACAGGGAAACAAACCTCCCGACATTCGTTGGTCTTACCCCCCCGAAAGAGGCGGTCTGATTTTCGCTCAACGCCTACTAGCGCTTGCGGGCTCGGCTACCGATACGGCGAGCCTGACAACCGGGGGAGCGTCCATCTCATCAGCACCGCCGTCATCAACCCCCCCGGCATCGCCCCAACACCCTTCGTTCATGACCCTCGCATAAAGCCTCGCACCGACGCCCTCCTCTTCTTCGCCTCCCGCTTCTCCTGTCCCCTGTCTGGGCAAACGCCACCTTACCGAGTACTCCTGGACACGGGGCGGCGGCGGCTCCACCGAAGCTACTGCTGTCGAGTACCGACTCGTGTCGTCGTCCTTACCGTCGCCTCTTGCAGCAGCGTCATCGACATCTCCGCCGGTGCCGCCGCCGCCGCCGCTTGCCACTGCCAGGGGAGGAGTTGCATCGGCGCTGCCGGAGGCGTCTTCTACGGGGCCGCCGGTCGCTCCCGTTTGCGGCGTCGGGAACGAGGGGGGCGCGGGGTCGCCGGAGGCAAGGTACCGCGCCAGCACGGCCAGCGGCTTATCACTGCTGCTGCTGCTGCTGCTGCTGCTGCTGCGGTTGCTGTCGGCGCTGCCGTCGCGGGGGCTGGCGGCGTTGGTGGTCACCAGCTCTTCCACGAGACCATACTCTTTTGGAAGCTGCGACGGGTGGGGGCGGGAAAACCGGAGGTGAGCGGCGCAATTTGATTCGAAGGTAGGGTCGACGCGGGGAGGGGGTGGGTCGGGGGGTTCGCCAAGTATCTTGCCCGGCTTGACAGCCTTTGCGTGGTGCGTGCGACAGCTCGGGTTTGGAAATCGTGCCGCTTTGTTCTTCGATGAGCGAGGAACGGGACTGCGCGATGATGACGCAGAACCCTTGGCAACTCATTGTCTGGCCCTCCCCACGATGAACGGTGGTTCAGAAATGGGCAAAAATATCACAGTTCTCTCGATCTGTGTCCTCTCATCTTCCCCTGCCGAGAAGAGAGCTACACGCTCGATACGATAGTGTTCTAGTTAGAAGGGCGCATACGGTACACTGCGGTCAACTGGCGCCGAGCCCTTAGCACGTTGAGAGATCGATTCCCCAATGTTACATCCCTCAGCAGGAAGCGTAACAAGGGTCGGATGAGTCTGACTCGTGCTCTACTACAGTGTACTTCAAGTAGCGATGATGGTTTCTAGGAGGAGGTATCACGCCAGGGTACCAAAAAAACAGTCGTTCGTTCTAAAATAAATCAGGAAGCTATGCAGACCCTTCATAACAGAACTGTTGGGGCAATCACAGATAAGAACGGGGCTCGAGACAGTGTTGGCTCGGCAGAGGCAGACACATTCTCGTGAAAGTAAAGTGGTGTGTGCCAGGTTAACCATTCTTCTCGGCGTGGTGTAGATCATTGCTAGCCTACCTTGTGCAGGAGCGAGGTCCCCCTGGAAAGCAACACCTCCGCCTCGTCCAGCGCGTCGCAGAGTGCGTCGCACTGCACGAGCGTCGCCTTTCGAAGATGGCAGAGGCAGGCGCAGAGGCACAGGTATATCGGCATGCAAGCGAGCAACAGAACAGCAGCGAACAGATGTTGTGAGAAATTTCGCGTTGACTATTTGCACCGCACCGCAGACGGCCTAGTAGCCACGCGCTCGGCCCAAAATCACAGCAGCACAGGTACTGTATAGCACAAAAACAAGCATAACTGGTAAGAAAGCTGGGGCAGAAAGCAGCGAGCACTTTCTGGTGCTTTCGGGCATGCAGCCGCTGAGGAGTGCACCACATTCCACGAGCGTAGGGGAGCCTGCAAGGTACACACACGCAGCAGCAGCAAACAAAACTTCGACGGCACCAGCAGGAGTAGTCGCTCCCCACGGAAATATCGCGCGCCAGAGAACACACGCACAACTCTCCCAAACAAACTACATACTTCCTGTTCGGAAATATAGGCACCATTTGGATATTCACATTCGCATCCGAACAGCCCTTGCACTTAACAACAGAGTGTTACAAACCAACAACGAGCTCACGGCAGGAACAAATAATACCGGGCGAGACGGACACGAGAAAGCAAAGACGCTGCTACGGCACAACAACACATGAATCCGAAAAGGCAGGCCGGCCGACCGAGCGACCAAACCACACCTGCGAGATCGGGTGCGCCACCCGGTTCCCCATCAGCAGCACCCCTCCGCCCGCAGAGGCCTCAAACAGACCCTCGGAAGCGCTCAGCACGGCAGAATTCACCCGTAACAGGGACTTCTTCACGCACGGCAACTCCAGGGCATCCTGCGCCGAAACACGCAACAACATTGGCAACATATACTGTTGTTTGAGTTCCGCAGCGGTGGGAATGTATGCGTCCGGCGCGTGTTTTTTTTTTGGCAAGAGAAACGAGGATAGGGGGAGCGTACCCTACAGGTTGTCGGCATGTACGCTTGGAACCTCCAGCCAGTGGATTGTGTAGTTTCGTTAGACCATTGATCGGGGCGGGGGGACGGTAGGACTCACTAAACGCTTGCCTTCGTCATTTCACCTTTCACCATGGAGGGTCAAGAGCAGCAAGGCGGGTGCAGATATTAGCTATGAACACGTGTGACGAGTCTCCCACGTTTCTCCGAGGAGACCCCTCGTTTCGCGTCCGCACGAACCGCTTTCAATGAAACCCAAAAGCCACCATCAGGCCCTGTCGAGGTCGGCCCCAACCACCTCGATGGGGTGCGTGTATTAATGTAAACGCATGCCGTTGTCGTGAGACCTCGCATCTCAATAATGCCGGCCCAGGCTAACGTTGAACCACAAGTTGGTCACCATCCTTGAGTTTGCTGTGTCAAAACCAGATGTGTCGTGGGTTGGTTGGGCATCTCGGGTCGCTTCACATTCGGTAGGCACGAATATTAATTTAAGTACCGGGGCTTCTTTGCGCGCATAGGGGGAGCAGCCGGAAGATGCCATCTTCCGTCTGAGCCTTTGTGAACACAAGGGGTACCCTCGAAGTAATAGTCGAAAATGACGCCGGACGATGTGGCGCGGGCCAATAGACCATCCCTGTTAGTCGCTTAGGTAGTTGCAGGGACGGGGACCCCGGGGGGGGGAGGGGGGGTACCA